TATGGAACGAAAGTTCTGTCACAAGCCAGCTAAGTGGGTAAGTTTTTGGTTTGGATTTTTAAATATTATTTTTGCTGTTTTCCCACACCTCCCTCGTATCCGCCCAAATAATAGTTCTGAAAGCATAATTCGTTAGTGTTTATTTGGAGCAGAAAAACTGTTATTCCTTAACTACAAAAATGTTCTGCATTTGTAATGCATTCGGATGTGAAACTAAAGGTGAAAATGTTTCGCTTTCTGAACCGAAGACAAAACGTAACTGTAAATGAGCTTGAAGTGTGCATGGAAGGAACTGAAAACTAGCACTAATAGTCGGACCTCTTGCAGGTATTAACCTCGAAGTAAATGTATGCTACAACATATGGATATGCACATCCATAACCTCTTTCGATTCCTCCCTAATGCAAGGTCCTCTCCCCCATTACTATGATGACTGTAAAAAGGAAAGGAAAGTGAACATAGACATAATCCCCCGAACAAATATTAGATTTCACTAGTAGGTTAAAAATGTCAGATTTTTTTTGTAAAACAAATGTTGGCATTCTTGTGGTTTTTAAATTTCCAGGGATTTTTTTCTTGTGTTATACAAAAGGCGTGGGCCATATCCTTTCACTGGGATTTTCAACCTCTTAATTACTTCCTAAGCTTTTGTAAGGCAGGAGCAGATTTGTGTGTGTGATTATTATTCCTCTTAATGACCTTGTTATTCAGACAAATGTTGCAGCTATGTATGTTGGTGTAATTGTGCAATCACTCTTTGGCAATCTTTGCCACTGAAAGGATAGTTTTGGTTATTTAACGAAGGCTCATTGCAGTGATTAGTGGGTTATGAAACCACCTCGGACGATAATTAAGATTGTGTGGATGGTTCAGGACACATGTAAAGTGTATGTAAAATAGTAATTATATGCCGAATTTAAGGTACATGTATAATTGATATACTTTCGATCCATAAGCCGAACTTAAAAAAGACAGGCGCAAAAGACCGAAGCGCCTGTCTTTTGCGCGGTTTTTCCAATTCGAAAGGCCATGTTCGCCACTGTTGTCTTCCACTTGATCTTTCCATTTTATTCGCGGCCTTCCCCTTCTGCGTGAACCATCAGCTGGTTCGCTTTTATATGCCTTCTGGGCTGGGGCATCTTCATCCATTCTCACAACATGACCTAGCCAACGTAGTCGCTGCAGCTCAATACGTCTAACAATGTCGATGTCCGAGAATAGCTGGTACAACTCATGGTTCATTCGACGGCGATATTCACCGTCAACGCAGATCGGCCCATAGATCTTTCAGAGAAATTTTCTCCCAAACCCTCCAAGAGCTGCTTCATCTGCTTGCGTAAGTATCCATGCTTCAGATCCATTTAATTTGGTCTGGCGGGAGGTGGCCTTGCTATTGGGTTGTTTGCTCAGATCATAGTAGCATCGGTTGGTCCTCACTATCCTTCTCCGAATTTCAAAACTGATGTCATTCGTTTTTTTTATGGCTGTACCAAGGTATATAAAATCTTTGACTACCTCGAAGCTGTAGTTTTCAAGCTCCACAGTTGGTCCGAGTCTACTGGACGTCTTGCGTGTTGATACAATCAGCTTGGTCTCCTCGCCGTTTAATGCCATACCCACTTTGGCAGACTCCTTCTCAATTTGTTCAAATGTTCTACCCATTCTGTCGATGTCATCGGCGCAGGCGAATAACATGTGTTGTTTGGTGTGCAGAGTGCCATTTCAGTTCAGTTTTGCCTCTCGTATGACCTTTTCCAGCAGGATGTTAAACAGATCACAAGACAAACTGTCACCTTGTCTGAATCCTCGTTCGGTATTAAAGGGCTCCGTGAGGTCCTTTCCGACTTTAACTGCTGATATTGTACCATTTAAAGTTATCCTGCATAGTCGAATTAATTTTGCAGGAATGCCGAACGCAGACATGACTTTAAACACCTCTGAACGGATAGGGCTGTCGAATGCAGCTTTATAGTCGACGAATAGGTGGAATGTGTTGATTTGTTTTTCGTGGGGTTTTTCCAGGATTTGGCGCAGAGTGAAAATGTGGTCAATGGTGGATTTGCAAGGTCTGAAGCCGCATTGGTCGTTCACAGTACGGACTTATTCCTCTATAGTTGGCACATATCGTCTTGTTTCCTTTTTGTGCACGGGACACAAGATGCTGAGATTCCAATCATTGGGCATGGATTCCTCTATCCGAATTGTACTAATCAGCTGGTACATGCTCCTGACCAGCATCTGACCACCGGTCTTGAATAGTTCGGCTGGTAATCCATCGACACCTGCTGCTTTTTGTGCTTCAGCCGATTAATTGCTACTCAGACCTCATCTTGTCTAGGTGGTATACACTCTATACCGTCATCTATTATTGGTTCTGGGATATCCTCTTCACCGCTACTATTTGATACCAGAAGCTTTTCAAAATGCTCCTTCTAGATCCTCAGCACGCTGTCTGTATCTGTCACCAGGTTTACATCTTTATCTCTACAGGAGGATGTGCCAGAACCAAAACCTTTGGTTTGGTGTTTTACTCGTTGGTAAAATTTCCGGACTTCATTCTGACTCCTGTAAATATCGATTTGCTCACGTTTTTCTTGTTCTTTCTTCTTTTTTCTGAAAATACGTTTCTCCTCTCTCCCTTTCTCCCGATAGTTCTCCATCACATTACGTGTTGCTACTGTCTGCAGGGTTGCTCTATACGCTGCGTTTTCCATATCAGTGGCATTACGACACTCCTGATCGTGCCACGGATTTCTTGATGGTGGTCTTTGGTACCAAAGTGTTGATTTTGCTGCAGTTTGTAGGGAGTGGGCAATTCTTTGCCATTGTGCTTCTATACTATTATCGGGACAAGAAGTGCTTTCGTCAAGCAGGTGGGTAAGTTGAGCGGAATAGGTTTCTGCTATCTGTTGTGTTTGCAACTTTTCGACGTCAAATTTCCGTGTTACATTAGATCGCACCTTCGCTGCTACATTAAGAAGGGTGCGTACCTTTGCTGCCACAAGGTTATGGTCCGAATCGATATTCGCTCCCCGGATCGATCGGACGTCTAAAACACTGGATGAATGCCTTCCGTCTATCACAACATGATCAATTTGATTTCTCGTTGTTCGATAGGGAGAAATCCAGATGGCCTTGTGTATATCGAGATGCTTTAATCTGGTGCTGCTAACTACCATGTTTTTTGCTGCCGCGAAGTCAATCAACCTCATGACGTTGTCTAATGTTTCTTCATGGAGGCTGCATTTTCCGACGGTGGGGCGAAAAATATTTTCCCTTCCGATTTTTGCATTAAAATCTCCTAGCAGAATTTTAATGTCATGGCCAGGGCAGCGGTCATATGCTGTTTCTAGGCGTTCGTAAAAAATGTCTTGGGCCTGCTCATCTTTGTCATCGGCTGGAGCATGGGCGCAAATGAGACTGATATAGAAGAACTTCGCTTTTATACGGATTATAGCAATTCGCTCATCTACTGGAGTGAATCTGGAGACGAGGTCTTTTATTCTCCTGTTAACCACAAATCCGCAGCCAAATTCGTGTCTCGTTTCATGGTAGCTATAATACAGGGCTTAATCGTCTGATTTACTTACGCCAGTCCCTTTCCATCGCATTTCCTGTAAGGCAATAATATTTCGCAGTAATAAATTTGCATCCAAATTCACGTCTCGTTTCATGGCAGCTATAAAACAGTGCGTAATCTTCTGTTTTACTTACGCCAGTCCTTTTCCATTGCATTTCCTGTAAGGCAATAATATCGGCTTTGTACTTCTTGAGTATATTCGCCAAATCGAAAACTACGTCTGTTCTGTACAACGTGCGCACATTCCAAGTGCAGATTCGCAGATCGTGGTCCCCCGTTTGCGGGGGTCGTCAACATTAGGGGGGTTTGGTTTTCTTTTTCTTTGCTTTTTCATAGTAGAGTGGGGTTTTCCGAGAATGGGCAACTAACCCGAGGCCTCAACCCATTTTTTTTATAGGTCTTATGGGTGAACTCGCGGCACATATTAGCTCACTATTACATAGGGTGATGAAAATAGCTACCCCACGTGGCACCACGGGGAGGCCAGTGTCCACAATTGAGATGAAAGAGGGGCTAATATAAGCCTGGACTTCGCCATGTTAAAGCCAATCAGAGCCATTGCTTGGTATTTATCATCCCCTATGCAACCCTGTATAATTGATATAGACATTTAAATAATTTACTTGAAAAATAATTTTTTATCCACGCCAAAAATAATTTTTAAAAAATCCACGCCTATGGGAAATAATTTTTAAAAAATGTACCTCTCTGGCAAATTATGGAACGTTATTTTTCCATTGTAAAAAAAAAATTCTATAAAAAATCTACGTCTGGGTGTAGTCTATCTTTTATCCTGGAATTTATGTTATCCCCTATTGTTGCAATCTGATCCCCGAAATCAATATACCCAACAAACTGCTCCTTCTTAAGTCCTATCCTGCAATGCCTCTATCCCATTTGCATAGCTTAACGAAATACAGGCCAACAGCAAGAAATACAAATCCTGCTTAACAAAAATGTTTGTATTTTAAATGAAACGGATGAATTCACACACAGTCAGGATTCCGAATATGCGAATACACCGGATAAGTCGTTATCCAAGAAAGAAGAAAATGCTAAAATATTTTTCGTTTCATTTTTTAAGAAAATTATTTTCACTTTGAATTGCAAATCGAGCTGAACGTTATAACGTCTTGTAATGCCATTGCATTTGTAGTTAAGCACTCACGCACACACACACATACACAGAGAGGGATCTCTTACTCAGTTCCACTTGAAACGAACGAAAAAAATGCAAATTTAGTATTCCTTTTCATGGTGAAGCCTTACCAAAGAAAGGAAAGTTGAAAAAAAAAACATAAAAGGGAAGGTTAAAATTAATTTAACATAAATTTCATGAAATGCACAAATTCTTGTAAATTGGGAATGAATTTCATTTAATTTTCTTCTGGTGTTCCCTTTCTTCTTCTTCCATTTTTAGGTTTTCGATTGCCGTTATGTGACTACCACGAGCGGAATGTTTGAGGCCATTTGTAATCACATCAAATATGCCACTAACAAGGGAAATTTAAGGTAAGTTAATTCAATTAAGAACAAAAAAAAAATAAATTCAAACAATTCTAAGAAAGGACGGAACAAAAATTTTTGAAAAAAAAATTAAAGAAGATTTTTCTAAGGCCATATAAGGCGTGGATTATTTAAGAAGATTTTTCTAAGGCCATCTAAGGCGTGGATTTTTTAAAGAAGATTTTTCTAAGGCCATCTAAGGCGTGGATTTTTTAAAGAAGATTTTTCTAAGGCCATCTAAGGCGTGGATTTTTTAAAGAAGATTTTTCTAAGGCCATCTAAGGCGTGGATTTTTTAAAGAAGATTTTTCTAAGGCCAGCCAGCCAAGGCGTGGATTTTTTAAAGAAGATTTTTCTAAGGCCAGCCAGCCAAGGCGTGGATTTTTTAAAGAAGATTTTTCTAAGGCCAGCCAGCCAAGGCGTGGATTTTTTAAAGAAGATTTTTCTAAGGCCAGCCAGCCAAGGCGTGGATTTTTTAAAGAAAATTTTTCTAAGGCCAGCCAGCCAAGGCGTGGATTTTTTAAAGAAGATTTTTCTAAGGCCAGCAGCCAAGGCGTGGATTTTTTAAAGAAGATTTTTCTAAGGCCAGACAGCCAAGGTGTGGATTTTTTAAAGAAGATTTTTCTAAGGCCAGACAGCCAAGGTGTGGATTTTTTAAAGAAGATTTTTCTAAGGCCAGCCAGCCAAGGTGTGGATTTTTTAGAGAAGATTTTTTTAAGGCCAGCCAGCCAAGGCGTGGATTTTTTTAAGAATATTTTTCTAAGGCCTCAGCAAGGCGTGGATTTTTTAAAGAAGATTTTTCTAAGGCCTCAGCAAGGCGTGGATTTTTTAAAGAAGATTTTTCTAAGGCCAGCCAGCCAAGGCGTGGATTTTTTAAAGAAGATTTTTCTAAGGCCAGCCAGCCAAGGCGTGGGTTTTTTAAAGAATATTTTTCTAAGGCCTCAGCAAGGCGTGGATTTTTTAAAGAATATTTTTCTAAGGCCAGCCAGCCAAGGCGTGGATTTTTTAAAGAAGATTTTTCTAAGGCCAGCCAGCCAAGGCGTGGATTTTTTAAAGAAGATTTTTCTAAGGCCAGCCAGCCAAGGCGTGGATTTTTTAAAGAAGATTTTTCTAAGGCCAGCCAGCCAAGGCGTGGATTTTTTAAAGAAGATTTTTCTAAGGCCAGCCAGCCAAGGCGTGGATTTTTTAAAGAAGATTTTTCTAAGGCCAGCCAGCCAAGGCGTGGATTTTTTAAAGAAGATTTTTCTAAGGCCAGCCAGCCAAGGCGTGGATTTTTTAAAGAAGATTTTTCTAAGGCCAGCCAGCCAAGGCGTGGATTTTTTAAAGAAGATTTTTCTAAGGCCAGCCAGCCAAGGCGTGGATTTTTTAAAGAAGATTTTTCTAAGGCCAGCCAGCCAAGGCGTGGATTTTTTAAAGAAGATTTTTCTAAGGCCAGCCAGCCAAGGCGTGGATTTTTTAAAGAAGATTTTTCTAAGGCCAGCCAGCCAAGGCGTGGATTTTTTAAAGAAGATTTTTCTAAGGCCAGCCAGCCAAGGCGTGGATTTTTTAAAGAAGATTTTTCTAAGGCCAGCCAGCCAAGGCGTGGATTTTTTAAAGAAGATTTTTCTAAGGCCAGCCAGCCAAGGCGTGGATTTTTTAAAGAAGATTTTTCTAAGGCCAGCCAGCCAAGGCGTGGATTTTTTAAAGAAGATTTTTCTAAGGCCTCAGCAAGGCGTGGATTTTTTAAAGAAGATTTTTCTAAGGCTTCAGTAAGGCGTGGATTTTTTAAAGAAGATTTTTCTAAGGCTTCAGTAAGGCGTGGATTTTTTAAAGAAGATTTTTCTAAGGCCTCAGCAAGGCGTGGATTTTTTAAAGAAGATTTTTCTAAGGCCATCTAAGGCGTGGATTTTTTAAAGACGATTTTTCTAAGGCCATCTAAGGCGTGGATTTTTTAAAGAAGATTTTTCTAAGGCCTCAGCAAGGCGTGGATTTTTTAAAGAAGATTTTTCTAAGGCCTCAGCAAGGCGTGGATTTTTTAAAGAAGATTTTTCTAAGGCCTCAGCAAGGCGTGTATTTTTTAAAGAAGATTTTTCTAAGGCCTCAGCAAGGCGTGGATTTTTTAAAGAAGATTTTTCTAAGGCCATCAGCCAAGGCGTGGATTTTTTAAAGAAGATTTTTCTAAGGCCAGCCAGCCAAGGCGGGGATTTTTTAAAGAATATTTTTCTAAGGCCAGCCAGCCAAGGCGTGGATTTTTTAAAGAAGATTTTTCTAAGGCCAGCCAGCCAAGGCGTGGATTTTTTAATGAAGATTTTTCTAAGGCCAGCCAGCCAAGGCGTGGATTTTTTAAAGAATAGTTTTCTAAGGCCAGCCAGCCAAGGCGTGGATTTTTTAATGAATAGTTTTCTAAGGCCACCTAAGGCGAGAATTTTTTAAAGAAGATTTTTCTAAGGCCACCTAAGGCGAGAATTTTTTAAAGAAGATTTTCCTAAGGCCACCTATGGCGTGGATTTTTTAAAGAAGATTTTCCTAAGGCCACCTATGGCGTGGATTTTTTAAAGAATCTTTTAATGACGGAATTTTAAATCGTGGCAATCGTTCGAATAAATTTCAGGCTCCGATTTTTCTATCATTTAAAAAACGACTTACTAAAAAAATAATGAAATTGAATTTAATTTTGTCCTTTCTCCTTTTTTCGATTTTTTCTTCCATATCTCATCTTGGAATCCTGCAATTTCATTCCTTGGATATTGTGCTCCGTTTGTTCTGGCATCTTTAAAATCAACAACAACAATAAAAATATGATGTGTAAATAAAACAAAAACAACAACACCAATTACAATTGGTCAAACAAACAACACCAGGTCAGCAATAACGATATTTCCACAGCGAACCGATGCCCGTCACGATTATCGCATCTGGAACTCACAGCTTATCTCGTATGCCGGCTACAAGCAGCCGGATGGCAAAATTATTGGCGACCCTATGAATGCAGAATTTACAGAGGTAAATATAATGAAGTTATCTTTGCTATTAACCCGCAGATCACCTACCAAGGCGTAGATTTTTTAAAGGATATTTTGTCAAGGCTCCAACCAAGGCGTAGTTTTTTAAATAATACTTTTTAAAGGGTCCAACCAAGGTGTAGATTAAAAAAAAATTCAAGGGTCCATCCAAGGCGTGGATTCTTTAAAGAATATTTTTTCAAGGCTCCAACCAAGGCGTAGATTTTTTAAAGAATATTTTTTCAAGGGTCCAACCAAGGCGTAGATTTTTTAAAGAATATTTTTTCAAGGCTCCAGCCAAGGCGTAGATTTTTTAAAGAATATTTTTTCAAGGGTCCAACCAAGGCGTAGATTTTTTAAAGAATATTTTTTCAAGGCTCCAACCAAGGCGTAGATTTTTTAAAGAATATTTTTTCAAGGCTCCAGCCAAGGCGTAGATTTTTTAAACATCCAACCAAGGCGTAGATTTCTTAAAAAATATTTTTTTAAGGGTCCAACCAAGGCGTAGATTTCTTAAAGAATATTTTTTCAAGGGTCCCACCAATGCGTAGATTTCTTAAAGAATATTTTTTCAAGGCTCCAGCCAAGGCGTAGATTTTTTAAAGAATATTTTTTTAAGCCTTCAACAAGGCGTAGATTTTTTAAAGAATATTTTTTTAAGCCTTCAACAAGGCGTAGATTTTTTAAAGAATATTTTTTTAAGCCTTCAACAAGGCGTAGATTTTTTAAAGAATTTTTTTCAATGGTCCAGACGTAGATTTTTTAAAGAATTTTTTTTCAATGGTCCAGACGTAGATTTTTTAAAGAATTTTTTTTAATGGTCCAGACGTAGATTTTTTAAAGAATTTTTTTTCAATGGTCCAGACGTAGATTTTTTAAAGAATTTTTTTTCAAGGGTCCAATCAAGGCGTAATTTTTTTTAAAGAATATTTTTTAGGGGTCCAACCAAGGCGGAGATTTTTTAAAGTTTTTTTTTTTGGCCTCTTAAGGGTTAATGTAAAAATGCCTAGCATTGCTTCGTGGAAACCTGTGCAATTTGTAGAGGGAAAGTAGCAAAAGTTTAAATGACTTAATGTGTTCGCACACGTAGTTATCCTTTATTCGGAATGTGAGATATTTAACGAAGACTGTGGCGCACGGAAGCTGTGTAACGAAACAGCAACCAGCTAGTGTGAATAATTAATGTAAGATAAATGAGTTTGCCTTGAAGTTAAATTACTCATTTAATTTAATTGACGAGCGATAGTCAATCGGAGAAAAATATGGGGTTGTGGAGATGAAGGTGTGGAATGTTCAAAAAGGGAGAGAAAAAATATTCTTTAAATAATAAAGATCTTTAAAAAATCCACGCCTTGTATAGACCCTATGGAAAATATTCTTTAAATAAAAATACCTTTAATAGACCTTTAACAAATCCACGCCTTGTATAGACCCTATGGAAAATATTCTTTAAAAAACCACGCCTTGTGTAGACCCCTGAAAATTTTTCTTTAAAAAGTCCTCACCTTGTGTAGACCCCTGAAAAAAATTTTCTTTAAAATATTCTTTAAAAAATCCATGGAAAATATTCTTTAAAAAATCCACGCCTTGAGTAGACCCCATGGAAAATATTCTTTAAAAAATCCATGGAAAATATTCTTTAAAAAATCCACGCCTTGAGTAGACCCCATGGAAAATATTCTTTAAAAAATCCATGGAAAATATTCTTTAAAAAATCCACGCCTTGAGTAGACCCCATGGAAAATATTCTTTAAAAAATCCACGCCTTGATTAGACCCCATGGAAAATATTCTTTAAAAAATCCACGCCTTGAGTAGACCCCATGGAAAATATTCTTTAAAAAATCCACGCCTTGAGTAGACCCCATGGAAAATATTCTTTAAAAAATCCACGCCTTGAGTAGACCCCATGGAAAATATTCTTTAAAAAATCCACGCCTTGAGTAGACCCCATGGAAAATATTCTTTAAAAAATCCACGCCTTGAGTAGACCCCATGGAAAATATTCTTTAAAAAATCCACGCCTTGAGTAGACCCCATGGAAAATATTCTTTAAAAAAAAATCCATGGAAAATATTCTTTAAAAAATCCACGCCTTGAGTAGACCCCATGGAAAATATTCTTTAAAAAATCCACGCCTTGAGTAGACCCCATGGAAAATATTCTTTAAAAAATCCACGCCTTGAGTAGACCCCATGGAAAATATTCTTTAAAAAATCCACGCCTTGAGTAGACCCCATGGAAAATATTCTTTAAAAAATCCACGCCTTGAGTAGACCCCATGGAAAATATTCTTTAAAAAATCCACGCCTTGAGTAGACCCCATGGAAAATATTCTTTAAAAAATCCACGCCTTGAGTAGACCCCATGGAAAATATTCTTTAAAAAATCCACGCCTTGAGTAGACCCCATGGAAAATATTCTTTAAAAAATCCACGCCTTGAGTAGACCCCATGGAAAATATTCTTTGAAAAATCCACGCCCTGTTGTAGACCCCATGGAAAATATTCTTTAAAAAATCCACGCCTTGTGTAGGTTTTAGAAAAATATTCTTTAAAAATCTAAGCCTTTTTATCCTTATCCTAAATATCCTTATATGTTAGTCTCTCAAATCCTTAATTATTTGTTTTATTCATTTCTATATCTGTTTCCTCATTTTTTTTCTCTTTTAGGTCTGCCTCAAACTCGGCTGGAAGGGAAAAGGCACCGAATGGGATATTTTGCCATTGGTCGTCTCAGCCAATGGTCATGATCCAGACTATTTCGATTATCCACCGGAATTAATTTTGGAAGTTCCATTAAGTCATCCAAAGTAAGTTTGGTAATAATATTACACACAAACGCATGCACACACACTCTTGGTCCTACACAAATACATCTAATGAAATAACTAAAGGACAAAACAAATCACACACACGTATACCCCATACATGAGTATGTGTGGGTTACCTGAGGATTATCATAGAGAGAGAAAGAGATTAGAAATACTACAGGTGTTACGATATTAAAATCACCCCGGGATTGGATGGTTGTCCTTCGGCCAATTGTGGATATTTATTGGGGGGAAGTGGGGGTGGTGGTTAGTTGTGTAGGTGTCCGTGTGTCATTTACTTTTGTCAGTCAGTTGATGTCGACATTGGTATTTGAATGGTTTCAATTCGATTTTTATTGAATTTTGTGGTTTGTGAGAAGATATTAGAGATGACGCCAGCAGAATCTGTTTAGTTCAACGGACTGGGGTCTGGGTATGAGGGGAAGGGTAGTGGAGAATAGTTGTGGAGGTCTAATGGGATACAGGGGGAACACACATAAGCTTATGCATTAATATTTTTGTACATTACATGTCGATGGAATGGAATTAGTTACTGTTGAAATAAAGGAAAATTCCCAAGAGGGATTTACAGTGGAGATCAAAAGTTAGAGACTATTTTTCAAAAGACCAAGAGGCGTAGATTTTTTAAAGAATATTTTTTCAAGGGCTATTAGTAAATTTTTAAAGAATATTTGTTCAAAGGCCACCAAAGGTGTCGATTATTAAGAGAATATTTTTTCAAGTGCTATCCAAGGCGTGGATTTTTAAAGAATATTTTTTCAAGGGCTATCCTATGCGTGGATTTTTAAAGAATATTTTTTCAAAGTCTATCCACCAAAGGTGGATATTTTTTAAAGAATTTTTTTTTTCAATCATCCATACAAGGCACGGATTTTTGGAGAATATTTTTTTTGAGCATCCTAAAGAGGATTTTTAAAGACTGGATTTTAAAGACTATTTTTAAAAGGATCCATACAAGGCACGGATTTTTGGAGAATATTTTTAAAAGGATCCATACAAGGCACGGATTTTTGGAGAATATTTTAAAAAGGATCCATCCATGTAGCATTCACAACAGGTGTGGATTCCAAAAAAAAAAAAAAAAAATATATATATATATATATATGTATATATATATTTTTTCGAGGGTCCGCCAGCACTCTTCCGTGTCCACCCTTCTCATTCCCAGTGTATTGAATACTGAAATCATATCAATACCAGACATTGTGTGCTACATACATGTGTAAAATTTCGTTATTAAATGAATTTTGATTGTATTAGAAATTATCATTTTGATAGTTTATATTTGCCCCCTACCCCCTTTTATTTCGCAATATGGAACACCTTTACCAATTTTTGTTCCCTTTTTCCGGGTTCTTTTCTTTGTGGCATTAGAAAAATCTTCTTTAAAAAATCCACGCCTTATGTGGCATTAGAAAAATCTTCTTTAAAAAATCCACGCCTTATGTGGCATTAGAAAAATCTTCTTTAAAAAATCCACGCCTTATGTGGCATTAGAAAAATCTTCTTTAAAAAATCCACGCCTTATGTGGCATTAGAAAAATCTTCTTTAAAAAATCCACGCCTTATGTGGCATTAGAAAAATCTTCTTTAAAAAATCCACGCCTTATGTGGCATTAGAAAAATCTTCTTTAAAAAATCCACGCCTTATGTGGCATTAGAAAAATCTTCTTTAAAAAATCCACGCCTTGGCTGGCTGGCCTTAGAAAAATCTTCTTTAAAAAATCCACGCCTTGGCTGGCTGGCCTTAGAAAAATCTTCTTTAAAAAATCCACGCCTTGGCTGGCTGGCCTTAGAAAAATCTTCTTTAAAAAATCCACGCCTTGGCTGGCTGGCCTTAGAAAAATCTTCTTTAAAAAATCCACTCCTGGCTGGCCTTAGAAAAATCTTCTTTAAAAAATCCACGCCTTGGCTGGCTGGCCTTAGAAAAATCTTCTTTAAAAAATCCACGCCTTGGCTGGCTGGCCTTAGAAAAATCTTCTTTAAAAAATCCACGCCTTGGCTGGCTGGCCTTAGAAAAATCTTCTTTAAAAAATCCACGCCTTGGCTGGCTGGCCTTAGAAAAATCTTCTTTAAAAAATCCACGCCTTGGCTGGCTGGCCTTAGAAAAATCTTCTTTAAAAAATCCACGCCTTTTCTGGCTGGCCTTAGAAAAATCTTCTTTAAAAAATCCACGCCTTGGCTGGCTGGCCTTAGAAAAATCTTCTTTAAAAAATCCACGCCTTGGCTGGCTGGCCTTAGAAAAATCTTCTTTAAAAAATCCACGCCTTGGCTGGCTGGCCTTAGAAAAATCTTCTTTAAAAAATCCACGCCTTGGCTGGCTGGCCTTAGAAAAATCTTCTTTAAAAAATCCACGCCTTGGCTGGCTGGCCTTAGAAAAATCTTCTTTAAAAAATCCACGCCTTGGCTGGCTGGCCTTAGAAAAATCTTCTTTAAAAAATCCACGCCTTGGCTGGCTGGCCTTAGAAAAATCTTCTTTAAAAAATCCACGCCTTGGCTGGCTGGCTGGCCTTAGAAAAATCTTCTTTAAAAAATCCACGCCTTGGCTGGCTGGCCTTAGAAAAATCTTCTTTAAAAAATCCACGCCTTGGCTGGCTGGCCTTAGAAAAATCTTCTTTAAAAAATCCACGCCTTGGCTGGCTGGCCTTAGAAAAATCTTCTTTAAAAAATCCACGCCTTGGCTGGCTGGCCTTAGAAAAATCTTCTTTAAAAAATCCACGCCTTGGCTGGCTGGCCTTAGAAAAATCTTCTTTAAAAAATCCACGCCTTGGCTGGCTGGCCTTAGAAAAATCTTCTTTAAAAAATCCACGCCTTGGCTGGCTGGCCTTAGAAAAATCTTCTTTAAAAAATCCACGCCTTGGCTGGCTGGCCTTAGAAAAATCTTCTTTAAAAAATCCACGCCTTGGCTGGCTGGCCTTAGAAAAATCTTCTTTAAAAAATCCACGCCTTGGCTGGCTGGCCTTAGAAAAATCTTCTTTAAAAAATCCACGCCTTGGCTGGCTGGCTGGCCTTAGAAAAATCTTCTTTAAAAAATCCACGCCTTGGCTGGCTGGCCTTAGAAAAATCTTCTTTAAAAAATCCACGCCTTGGCTGGCTGGCCTTAGAAAAATCTTCTTTAAAAAATCCACGCCTTGGCTGGCTGGCCTTAGAAAAATCTTCTTTAAAAATCCACGCATAAGGCTCTGCTAGTCCTTAGAAAAATCTTCTTTAAAAAATCCACGCCTTGGCTGGCTGGCCTTAGAAAAATCTTCTTTAAAAAATCCACGCCTTGGCTGGCTGGCCTTAGAAAAATCTTCTTTAAAAAATCCACGCCTTGGCTGGCTGGCCTTAGAAAAATCTTCTTTAAAAAATCCACGCCTTGGCTGGCTGGCCTTAGAAAAATCTTCTTTAAAAAATCCACGCCTTGGCTGGCTGGCCTTAGAAAAATCTTCTTTAAAAAATCCACGCCTCGCTGAGGCTTAGAAAAATATTAAAAAATCGTTGCCTCTTTACTGTTTTCAAATTGAAGAAGATTGATGTCTTTATATGCCTGTCATCCCAACTCAAATAGAATGACATATTCTAAACCCTTAACATGTCCAACAATTTAACTTCAATTATGAAAAACCAACAACAACAAAAAAAAAATAATTTTGAAACATTTAAAAACCATTAACGACCATTTCCACAGACAACAAACAAGTACCATAAAATTTATTGACCCAAACTAACCCAAACCACCGCACCACGGAATGGAATTTCAATTCCATTATTTAACAGCCATAAAATTGAATTTCAAATAATTTTGGCTAACTGATTTCCTTGCTATTTCAATATTTTATAGAGAACAGCTCTTTTGTTGTTGCCACCATTGTTTTCTCATTTTCCCATGTTTTTTTCCTCAGTGGCTGGTACATGTCCACCGAGATTGGTTGTCGGAATTTGTGCGATGTTAATCGGCGAAATATTTTAGAGGTAAGTGAAAGAAGGGGTATCTCCCTCGAGGTTCGGACAGACAGACAAACCCGCCAAACAAATGTTGAACATAAAAAATTTTGATGGCCATTATGATGATCATTGTTGTTGTTGCTGTAGTTGTTTACATGAAATGACTTGACTCTCCACCCCCCATTACCAGTTGATTAACATCCATTTAGGGATTTGTTTTATATTTTTTGCGAATGAATTGGAATCATATTTCATGCTGACTTAGAGCCACCAGAATCAGTGATGCACAGCAGCAGCCGCACGCCATGCTGGCTGGATGGCTGGCTGTATGTCTGTCTGGCTGACATGATGAATTGTTGGAATGTTTTTTTTTTCAATTTTTCTGTTTTTTTTTCTCAACTCTCCTTACAGACTGTGGCATTGAAAATGAATTTGGATACCCGCACCCCAACCTCCCTGTGGAAGGACAAGGCCTTGGTCGAAGTCAACATTGCTGTGCTGCACTCATTCCAAAGTCGCAACGTGACCATTGTCGATCATCATACGGCCAGTGAGAGTTTCATGAAACACTTTGAAAATGAATCGAAATTGCGGTAAGTCAATGGTCTCTATAGACCTTAAGGAATTTGGGAAACGTGTGTTGAAAAAGGGATGTAAAAGGACGGAGAAAAATATACTAGCCTCCTTTGGGCAAGTGTTACGAGACATATTGATTTTAATGGCATCATCTTCAATGGGATATGGTCAGGGACCAGGGGAAGAGGAATCATATATTTCAAGGACATCAATATGAGTGGACTTCTTAAAGAATATTTCTTCAGGGACTTCAATAGGCGTAGATTTTTTAAAGAATATTTTTTAAGGGACTAACAGAGGCGTGGATTTTTAAAAGAATATTTTTTCAGGGACTAACAGAGGGGCGAATTTTTTGAAGAATATTTTTTCAGGGACTAACAGAGGCGTGGATTTTTTAAAGAATATTTTTTTTAGGGACTAACAGAGGCATGGCTTTTTAAAAGGCTTATCTTGGTCCCTTTTTCATCTCAATTGTGGACACTTACCTCCCCGCGGTGTCAGCTGGGGTGCCTATTTTGATCACCCGTTGAAATAGTGAGCTGATATGTGCCGCGAGTTTATCCATAAGAACTATAAAAAATGGGTTGAGGCGTCGGGTTAGTTGCCCACACACGGGAAACCCCTTCAACTTTGAAAAAGCAAAGAAAAAGAAAACCGAGCCCCACTAATGTTGACGACACCCGCAAACGTATAAAGGACCACGATCTGCGAATCTGCACTTGGAATGTGCGCACGTTGAACAGAACAGACGTAGTTTTCGCTTTGGCGGATGTACTCAAGAAGTACAAAGCCGATATTATTGCCTTACAGGAAATGCGATGGAAAGGGACAGGCGTAAGTAAATCAGACGATTACGCCCTGTATTATAGGTGCCATGAAACGAGACATGAATTTGGCTGTGGATTTATAACATGAGAATAAAATGCCTCGTCTCCAGATTCACTCCAGTAGATGAGCGAATTGCTATAAACCGTATAAAAGCGAAGTTCTTCTACATCAGTCTCATTTGCGCCCATGCTCCGACCGAAGACAAAGATGCGCAGACCAAAGACATATTTTACGAACGCCTAGAAACAGCATATGACCGCTGCCCTGGCCATGACATTAAAATTCTGCTAGGAGATTTTAATGCAAAAATCGGAAGGGAAAATATTTTTGGTCCCATGAGGTTGATTGACTTCGCCGCAGCAAAAAACATGGTAGTCAGCAGCACCAGGTTCAAGCATCTCGATATACACAAGGCCACCTGGATTTATCCTGATCAAGCAACGAGAAATCAAATTGATCATGTTGTGAAAGGCGGAAGGCATTCGTCCAGTGTACTAGACGTTCGATCGATCCGAAGAGCGAACATCGATTCGGACCACTACCTTGTAGCAGCCAAGGTTCGCACTCGTCTTAACGTCTAACATAACATAGAAATTCGACGTCGAAAAGCTGCAAACGCAACTGGTAGACGAGGCCTACTTCGCTCAACTTACCCACCTGCTTGACGAAAGCTTTTCTTGTCCCGATAATAATATAGAGTGACAGAGAATTGCCCACTTCCTACAAATGGCAGAAAAAGCATCACTTGGGTACCAAAAATCACCATAAAAAAGCCCATGGTACGATCAGGAGTGTCGTAATGCTACCGATGTGAAAAACGCAGTGTATAGGGCAACCCTGCAGACAGTAGCAAAACCTAATATGATGGAGAATTATCGCGATAAAAGGAGAGAGGAGAAACATATTTTCAGAAAAAAGCAGAAAGAACAAGAAAAACGTGAGAGTGAGCAAATCGAGATGTACAGGAGTCAGAATGAATTCCGGAAATTTTACCAACGGGTAAAACACCAAACCGAAGGCTTTGGTGCAGGCACATCCTCCTGTGAGATGAAGAAGGAAACCTGGTGACAGATACAGACAGCATGTTGAGGATCTGGAAGGAGCATTTTGAAAAACTTCTGGTATCAAATAGTAGCGGTGAAGAGGATGCCCCAGAACTAATAATAGATGACGGTATAGAGTGTATACCACCTTGCCAAGATGAGATGAGAATAGCAATTAATCCGCTTAAGAACAATAAAACAGCGTGATCTGATGGGATACAAGCCGGACTATTCAAGACTGGTGGTCAAATGCTGGTCAGGAGCATGCACCAGCTGATTAGTACAATTTGAATAGAGGAATGCATGCCCAATGATTGGAACCTCAGCATCCCGTGTCCCGTGCACAAAAAGGAGACAATGACGAGAAGACCAAGCTGATGGTATCCACGCGCCAGACATCCAGTAGTCTAGGACCAACTGTGGAACTTGAGAACTACCGCTTCAAAGTAGTCAAAGATTTTATATATCTTGGTACCACCATAAATAAAACGAATAACATTAACCGAATAACAGATGCTACTATGGTCTAAGTAAACAGTTTAGAAACAAGGCCACCTCCCGCCAGACCAAACTCACACTTTACAAGACGCTGATAATACCCGTGCTGTTAAATGGGTCTGAAGCATGGGTAGTTGCTCAAGCATACGAGGCAGCTCTTGGGTTGTTTGAGAGAAAATTTCTCCGAAAGAGCTACCGGACCGATCTGCTTGGACGGTGAATATTGTCATCGAATGAACCATGAGTTGTACCAGCTATTCTCGGACATCGACATTGTTAGACGTATTGGGCTGCAGCGACTACGTTGGCTAGGTCATTTTTTGAGAATGGATGAAGATGCCCCAGCCCAGAAGTCATATAAAAGCGAACCAGCTAATAGTTCACGTAGAATGTGAAGGCCACGAATAAGATAGAAAGACCAAGTGGAAGACAACATTGCCGAATATGGTCTTTCAAATTGGAAAAACTGCGCAAAAGACCGACGCGCCTGGAAATATTTTTCAAGCTCGGCTTATGGAACAACCGTTCTGTAACAAGCCAGCTAAGTAAGCAATAAAAAGTATTTTTTAAAAATCCACGCCTGTTTTGGATGTTGGAAAAAATATTCTTTAAAAAATTTTGACGTCCTTTTCAAAAATATTCCACTCCTCCAGTCCACTCCACTCTTTAAAAAACTCCTCTCATTTGTAATCCTTCGAACAGTTTTCTCCATTGTTTAAATGGTTTTATGGCTTCATTCACTTGTAGTGAAGTCAATTGCTCCTTTGAGGCCAACTGTTCCGATGTATATGTGTGTTAGCTTGTGAGCGTTAAGCATATCGCATGTTGTACGATTTGCTTGATTTGAGGAATGGAGTAAATCGTATTTGTTCATCGACGGATGTGAGTAGTAATTTTCCTGGGTAATTTATGTGTAAACATGTTTTATTTGACATTAGGTTTATGTTCGGACACTTAATGCCTGTATTGTTGTGGAGTTTTATGCAATTGGTCGTAGTGGTGGTGGTAGTGTTTTGAAAATGAGGAAACAAATAAGAAAAATTGAAAGCCACATCCATAAAGAAGGAGGTTAGTAGAACCACTAATCTGGATTTTTATTTATATGAAGATAGAGGATTTTAAAGGATTTTTTGGACAGGAGGATTTTTTGGAGAGTCTTAAAGGACTCTCGGAGGTTTAAGTGTGAATTATTTAAAAAAAATTTGGAAGGCCTTAAGTTTTAAATTTTGAAGGATTTTTTCGGTGGATAATTTTTGATATTTTAATCAATATTTGTGTGGATTAGTGTGTGCTTCAATTTTTGAAAATTATGAAGGAAGGTCAATAATTAAAAAAATATCTTTTGAGGTTCAATAGATAAGGTAGACCTTCAAATATTTTTATAAAAATTCTTGAATAAAAAAATTGTTTATAGGTCAGATATGTCGATGTTCTTAATACCCGTATCCTGTAACCTATAAATATTTTCAGACCCATTGGTCTTACTTATATAAATTAAACATTAAGTTTTCGTCCTCCGTCTGTTATCGAAATTGTTCCTTTTTCCATTTCATATCGAATTTCTTTGGCATATCCTTGTAAAACAAATTGATGATTTGCCATACATTGTGATCACCAATCGATGTTTATTTAGTTTTCAATGGCCCAATGACGAATGATTACTACAACGTGACTGTGTATGTATATTCCGCTCACATATGCCACTTGTTTAGATATGTGTGTGCATGTTATGCCTTTTCTTTCCGGTCGGTCAGTTCAATAAGTTATTCATCGTTTTTATTGGCCAACCGGTGCCACCATTCCTACCTTCCTCCGTAAAGGTAAATTTCCGTTTTGATAAATGTTCGCCGTATGTCCGGAACGTCAGGATATTTATTGTTGTGTTGTAAATTGATGTCCAAACAAATGGTTTGTTTGTAAATAAATTTGTGGCAATTTTTGTAATAAATGGAAAAAAATAAATGATTGCGGGCAAAATAAATTTTCACATTCGATTATGTGCGGAATTGGATTGGAATGAATTGAGAGTAGGCATATGTCTATTTGATTTAGGTTTTATGTGATAAATGTAGTCGCTGCAGCTCAATACGTCTAACAATGTCGATGTCCGAAAATAGCTGGTACAACTCATGGTTCATTCGACGGCGATATTCACCGTCAACGCAGATAGGCTCATAGATCTTTCGGAGAATTTTTCTCTCAAACACTTCAAGAGCTGCCTCGTCTGCTTGCGTAAGTACCCATGCTGCAGATCCATAGAACAGCATGGGTAGTATCAGCGTATTGTAGAGTGTGAGTTTGGTCTTGCGGGAGGTGGCCTTGTTTCTAAACTGCTTGCGCAAGTACCCATGCTGCAGATCCATAGAACAGCATGGGTAGTATCAGCATCTTGTAGAGTGTGAGTTTGGTCTGGCGGGAGGTGGCCTTGCTTTTGAGTTGTTTGCTCAGACCATAGTAGCATCGGTTGGCCATCACTATCCTTCTCCGAATTTCAAAACTGATGTCATTCGTTTTGTTTATGGCGGAACCAAGATCCATAAAATCTTTGACTTAATTAAAGCTGTACTTCTCAAGTTCCACAGTTGGTCCGAGTCTACTAGACGTTGATACCATCAGCTTGGTCTTCTCGCCGTTTACTGCCAGACCCACTTTAGCAGACTCCTTTTCAATTTGTTCTAAGGTGGCTGTTGCCGCTCTCAGTTTTCGAACAATTATGTCGATGTCATCGGCGTTGGCGAGTAACATGTGTTGCTTGGTGTACAGAGTGTCATTTCTGTTCACTTTTGCCTCTCGTATGACCTTTTCCAGCAGGATGTTTAAAAGATCACACGACAAAATATCACCTTGTCTGAATCCTCGTTCGGTATTGAAGGTCTCCGAGAGTTCCTTTCCGACTTTAACTGATATTGTGTCTGTTAAAGTTATCCTGCATAGCCGAATTAATTTTTCAGGAATGCCGAACGCAGACATGACTTTAAACACCTCTGAACGGATAGGGCTGTCGAATGCGCCTTTATAGTCGATGAATAGATGGAATGTGTCGATGTGTTTTTCGTGGTTTTTCCAGGATTTGGCGCAGATTGAAAATCTGGTCAATGGTGGATTTGCCAGGACTGAAGCCGCATTAATATGGTCCAATAATGTCATTGACCATTGACTTCAGTCGTTCACACAGCACACTGAATAGCACTTTATATGCGATGGGAAGGAGACTTATTCCTCTATAGTTGGTACATATCGTCTTGTCTCCTTTTTTGTGCACGGGTCACAGGATGCTGAGGTTCCAATCATTTGGCATGCATTCTTCTATCCAAATTGTACTACTCAGCTGGTGCATGCTCCTTACCAGCATCTGACCACCAGTCTTGAATAGTTCGGTTGGTAACCCATCGGATCCTGCTGTTTTATTGTTCTTCAGTCGATTGATTGCTATTCTGACTTCATCTTGGCAAGGTGGTATACACTCTATACCGTCATTTATTATTGGTTCCACTTCACCGCCACTATTTGATACCAGAAGTTTTCAAAATGCTCCTTCCAGATCCTCAGCACGCTGTCTGTATCTGTCACAAGGTTTCCTTTTTTATCTCTACAGGAGGATGTGCCTGTACCAAAGCCATCGGTTTGGTGTTTTACACGTTGGTGGAATTTTCGGACTTCATTCTGTCTCCTGTACACCTCGATTTGTTCACGCTCTTTCTTCTGAAAATACGCTTCTCCTCCCTCCTTTTCTCCCGATAGTTTTCCATCGCATTACGTTTTGCTACTGTCCGCTGCGTTTTTCATATCAGTAGCATTACGATACTCCTGATCGTATCACGGATTTCTTGGTGGTGGTCTTTGGTACCCAAGTGTTGCTTTTGCTGCAGTTTGTAGGAAGTTGGCAATTCTCTGCCATTGTGCTTCTATTATTATTATTATCGGGACAAGGGGTGCTTTCGTCAAGCAGTTGGGTAAGTTGAGCCGAGTAGGCTTCTGCTATCTGTTGTATTTGCAACTTTTCGACGTCAAATTTCCTTGTTACATTAGATCGCACCTTTGCTGCTACATTAAGACGGGTCCGTACCTTTGCTGCCACAAGGTAATGGTCCGAATCGATATTCGCTCCTCGGATCGATCGGACGTCTAACACACTGGACGAATTCCTTCCGTCTATAACAACATGATCGATTTGATTTCTCGTTGTTCGATCGGGAGAAATCCAAGTGGCCTTGTGTATATCGAGATGCTTGAATCTGGTGCTGCTAATTACCATGTTTTATTTTGCTGCCGCGAAGTCAATCAACCTCATGCCGTTGTCTGATGTTTCTTCATGGAGGCTGAATTTTCCGACAGTGGGACCAAAAATATTTTCCTTCCGATTTTGGCATTAAAATCTCCTAGCAGAATTTTAATGTCATGGGCAGGGCAACGGTCGTATGCTGTTTCTAGGCGTTCGTAAAATATGTCTTTGGTCTGCTCATCTTTGTCTTCGGTCGGGGCATGGGTGCAAATGAGACTGATGAAGACAAACTTCGCTTTTATACGGATTTTAGCAATTCGCTCATCTACTGGAGTGAATCTGTAGATGAGGTACAGAGCCGTTGCTTGGTATCTATCATCCCCTACGCCACCCATGTGATAAATGTTAAAGAATATTGTTCTAAGGTCTGTCAAGGCGTAGATTTTTTTAAAGAATATTTTTCTAAGGCCATTCCAAGGCGTGGATTTTTTAAAGAATATTTTTTCTAAGGCCATTCCAAGGCGTGGATTTTTTAAAGAATATTTTTCTAAGGCCATTCCAAGGCGTGGATTTTTTAAAGAATATTTTCCAAATGTCTAAGCTCTACCTTTGATTTCTTTATTAAAGGTTACTCACACGCTCTCCTGCTCTCGAAGTGATCCTACCCTTTCAATCCAGTAATTAAAAATATTCAAGTTACCATCCCATAGAGTTTATGTTTTAAAAGCAATGACTAGATAAAATCGTCCCTCCCTCTTTTATCCTGCTATTATTTCCTACCACATATCCTCAATTTTTATTTCCGCAATTGTCATTGTTATTACCTCAACCCTAATTCCCGAGGTAAAAACATTCAAAACAACATTTCAAATCTTCCGTTTTACAATTTTTTTTATTAGCCAATTGTCAATTTGTTTTTATTTTAATCGTTCTTCCCTTTATTCTCTCTCTATTTTTCCAGCAATGGCTGTCCCGCCGATTGGATATGGATTGTCCCACCAATGTCAGCATCGATAACACCCGTCTTTCATCAGGAAATGTCGCTGTACTATTTACGGCCATCCTTTGAATATCAGGATCCTGCATGGCGCACCCACATCTGGAAGAAGGGACGCGGCGAGGGCAAGAGCAAGAAGCCACGACGTAAATTTAATTTCAAACAAATTGCCAGGTAAGTTTCACTCAATAGATAATGTCGATGCGAGGATGTCAGTGATGATGTCGATGTCGATAAGGACGATGTCAATGATAGCACATTTGATTTGCTACATTGGCAAGGATAATGCCAGGATGATGTAAGTGTGCGTGAAGAGTAAAATGGCATGGAGGAAGGTAGTAGCTTAAAAGGGAAGCGTAATGGAAGCATGTCTGTGGTGGATCCCCATAAAAATAACAATTGTGATTTTCTAACAGATTGCGTTACCGCTATTAAACTGATGTAGATTAGAAGAAGATAACTACCGCATTCAATGTGATGATTATAGGGGATTTTGAGGAGGGATACATTTTACATAAAAATGGAGACTGTGGTTTGAGGGGATTAACTATAGAAGATTTTTCTACAAATATATATTTTTAAAAATATTTTTCTTTTTCGAGGTCCTTATATAGGAGTAGCTCTTTATACCCTACACATCTATATTGTCAGGGTATTATAGCTTTGTGCAGCCCCAAGAGTTTGTAAGGCCGTGATATATTGTTCCTAGACCCACCTTTAAGTATACCGATCGTCATATCTCGACTAGCTGAGTCGATCTAGATATGTGTGTCTGTCCGTTTGTCCGTCTGTCCATTATAATTTGTAAACACGATACAGGCCACAGTTATGGATCAATCTTCACGAAATTTTGCATGTAGGATGGATTCTGACCCATAAAGACGGTAAAGATCGGTTAATATTTAGGGGATGAAATGGACCAAAAATTTTATTTTTGTCTGATTTTCTTGTCGCTTCAGAGGCCTTAATAATGGCCCAAACATCTCGATTTTTTGTATAGAGAAGGGGATCGGGCCAAAGAATAAGCATGCCTGTTTTGATAAAGATCGGTCAATATTTAGCGGGCCAAATGGATCCTATCTTTTGTGTGATAAATTACAAAATTTATATTCTCAGGCGTAAGCATTTACTCCTGAAGGACATAGACCCGAGAAGTCGATAGTATATCACCTAAGTATTTACTGGTGCTTACGTATTCAGATATTATTTAGTAATCCATTACCACAATAGAGTGCGGAAATATAGCCCTGATTGCTTTCAAAATTTCCATGTGGTTCCAGTTGTGGTCAAGTAGAAGGCCTATAATTTTCGGTGATGATCAGATAATAATATTGGGATGTAGTGGACCAAAAACATAAATGTTTGTGTTTTTTCCGATCTATAGACCACAATTATAAGCCGAATATCACAACACAACCCACCGCGGAGGGAATCTGGAAATGTAATTAGAAGCTCTGTACTGAATAGTATAAATATTCGGAAAATATGTCAGTATAAAGAAGAGGTGCTGTTGACCTTTAATCGGGCAAGAGGGTGTAAATATCACGAAATATTGCCCAGGCTCGGACGTCCGCAGAAAGTTAGAGTTCCGTGGTATCTACAATATTTTTTCCAGGCTATAAAAAAACAGTGAATTTTTTTTAAATATATGTTTTTACCATACAAAAACCTTGATTGGATTTGTTTTTATGTAATTGTCAGTCTATAAATCTGCCTGTACTTCGGGAGTGAATGATTTTAAAAATATTTTTAGTCAGGAACATTTGTAACAAATTCACGCTTTTATGTGGACTTTGAAAAAATAATTGTAAAATATCAAAGCCAATACGAGAACTACATAACATATTTTGAAAAATCCACGTCTATGAACGTGAGCTGGAAAAAATAGTCCAAGCTTTTTTCTGTGCCCTTGAGTGATCCCTGAAAATGTATTCTTTACAAAATCGACGCCTGTTTGGTTCCTTGAAAAACTTTTCTTTTAGAAGTCCACGCCTGTTTGGGTCCTTGAAAAAATATTATTTTAAAAGTCCACGCCTTAGATAGGCCTTGAAAAAATATACTTTAATAAATCCATGTCTGTTTGAGTCCTTGAAAAAATATTCTTTAAAAAATCCATGTCTGTTTGAGTCCTTGAAAAAATATTCTTTAAAAAATCCACGCCTGTTTGAGTCCTTGAAAAAATATTCCTTGAAAAATCCACGCCTGTTTGAGTCCTTGAAAAAATATTCTTTAAAAAACCCACGCCTGTTTGAGTCCTTGAAAAATTATTCTTTAAAAAATCCACGCATAGGGTAGTCCTTGAAAAAATATTCTTTAAAAAATTCACGCCTTGGGTAGTTCATGAAAAAAATATTCTTTAAAAAATCCACGCCTTGGGTAGTCCATGAAAAAAATATTCTTTAAAAAATCCACGCCTTGGGTAGTCCATGAAAAAAATATTCTTTAAAAAATCCACGACTTGGGTAGTCCTTGAAAAAAATATTCTTTAAAAAATCCACGCCTTGGATAGTCCTTGAAAAAAATATTCTTTAAAAAATCCACGCCTTGGGTAGTCCTTGAAAAAATATTCTTTAAAAAATCCACGCCTTGGGTAGTCCTTGAAAAAATATTCTTTAAAAAATCCACGCCTTGGGTAGTCCTTGAAAAAAATATTCTTTAAAAAATCCACGCCTTGGGTAGTCCTTGAAAAAAATATTCTTTAAAAAATCCACGCCTTGGGTAGTCCTTGAAAAAATATTCTTTAAACAATTCTAGCCTTAGATGGTGTAGACAAAATATCATTTAAATTCTTTTCCTTGACATGTATTAAATATCCTTTTGAATCCCTTTTGTTATCCTAACCGCTTTAAGTTCATCCACTGTTTGCCAAATGTGTAACAAATTTCTAATAAATATCCTTATTTTTACCTGTTTCTGCAACTAATTTAAATTCACCACAAATACCAATCATTGGAAGTCATGTGTGTAATTTATAAAACACCCACGGATACAGACACACACATACAACGACTTATGGTTGTACATTTGTGCGGGGAGCGGGGTAAAATCTTTTGTTTGTTTTTGAATTAATGTACTTCTTCGCTTGTCTGTCTGTCTCTCTATCGATGTCTAACTAGGCTTCTTTCCGTCTTACTAAGCTTCTGGGTGTATAAGAATCCATATGGGTATTCATATCCTTGCAAATGTGTAAGTATGTGTGTGGATGTTTGTATAAATTGTATCATGATAGGTTTAGTTAGTTTTTTTCCTTGATCTACTTGTGGGTTTTGTTCTTGTGGCTTTTGTGTAGCATATTGATACCATGTGCATATACACACATACATGTATTTGTGTGTGTGGGTTCATACAAAAAGGATTATCCTTTAAGTGGATTACAAGGGTATACAAATGTTTTGTTTACTTTTTTATATTCTTAGGCCAGCCATTATTGGCCGTATTGCGCCCTACGTATTTATGTGCAGTTCAAGATAGTGAGTGCAAAAGGATATATGTCCTGGTCCTGACACGAACTCGCACACCCACAGAGACATAGTTTCTAGAGAATGAAGATAACGATTAGGGGGTAATCTTAAGAAACTGGTGGGCTGACTGGTTCCTTGGTTGGTTGATTGACGTATCGTACACATATGTAATGTTTTCATTATCCTTTTCCCTTTTGCCATTTAAGGGGCGAGAGAGCAGATTGGAAGAGGAGGAGGCCAGCGGCGTGTATATGGATATAAATGTAATGTTTAAATTGTCCTGTTTGCAGCAGTTCAGTATCAGTTTAACTTTTTATTGCTTCAAAGTTTCTAAAACGATTTGCTTGATTGTGAGAGTGTGTGTGTTTACAAGGATATGTGTGGGTGAATGTGTGTGTTTTAGGAAAAGGAAATTGTTATTTTCCGCAAAATAAAAACTTTGATTGAATATATATTTTGTTGTTACTGTTTGAAGACAATAGCAAACAATAAAGGAAGCTTAAACAAATACCACACCCACACACAAAAACATACTCAGTGTTCAATGTATGTATGTGCCGCTTAAGCTTCTTCTATTTACGTATGCAAATCACTTAATTTTATTTCAAACAAAATTTTAAATGCTAGGAAAATCATTTCGCTGACTTTAATTTAAATTTTCCCAAAATACTCTCCCTCATATCCCGTGTTAAGCTGTCTTTTCCAATTTTCCTCATCATAATTTTCCACTTTAAGAATTTAATACGACTTCGTTAGGATTTTCATTTTTGATTTCAATTTTTCCGATTTGAAGCTTAAACGATTCTCGATGTGTTTAACAACGTCTATGCCTTTGACAGGATATGTTGGTTGTTTGTTTTTGTAATTTGATTTGATTTAATTAAATTTCCTAATAAATGATGTGCAAAGTAATTGTTTTGACTGGCAGAGGAAGCCGAAGACAGGATGCAGAAAAGCATGAAAGCGATAAGATTTATTTGATGACAAAGGATGTTGTTCTTGTTGTTATTTTGATATTTCATCTTCAATAGAATGGGAATTGGTAATGCTTTAAGTCACAAATGTCACAAAAGGTTAGAAGGAAAGACAATGGATATTGAATAGAAAATATTTAAATAACATTTAATATTCATTTTATTTGAATTTTAAAGAATCAGTATTTTTTCAAGAATATTTCTTGAACGAAGACATGGATTTTTTAAAGAATATTTTTTCAATTTTTTTAAAAATACTTTTTTCGAGACCTAAAAGAGGGCGTGGGTTTTTTAAATAACAATTTTCAGGGACCCAAGGTAGGCGTCGATTTTTTCAAGGACCCGAGACAGGCGTTGTGTTTTTTAAAGATGAACTTTTCAAGGACCTAAACAGGCGTGGATTTTTTAAAGATACATTTTTCAAGGACCTAAACAGGTTTGGATTTTTTAAAGATCATTTTTCAAGGACTTAAACAGGCGTGGATTTTTTAAAGATCATTTTTCAAGGACTTAAACAGGCGTGGATTTTTTAAAGATCATTTTTCAAGGACTTAAACAGGCGTGGATTTTTTTAAAGGTCATTTTTCAAGGACTTAAACAGGCGTGGATTTTTTAAAGGTCATTTTTCAAGGACTTAAACAGGCGTGGATTTTTTAAAGATCATTTTTCAAGGACTTAAACAGGCGTGGATTTTTTAAAGATCATTTTTCAAGGACTTAAACAGGCGTGGATTTTTTAA